CTGTTTTAGATCAGTGGTCCTCAAACCTGGTCCTATAGGGCCAGTATCCTGCATGTTTTAAATCAATGGTCCTCAATCCTGGTCCTTTAGGGACAGTACCCTGCATGTTTTAGATCAGTGGTCCTCAATCCTGGTTCGCTAGGGACAGTATTCTGCATGTTTTAAATCAATGGTCCTCAATCCTGGTTCTGTAGGGCCAGTATCCTTCATGTTTTAGGTCTGTGTTCCTCAATCCTGGTCCCATAGGGCCAGTATCTGGCATGTTTTGTATCAGTGGTCCTCAATCCTGATCCTATAGGGCCAGTATCCTGCTGGTTTTAGATCTGTGGTCCTCAATCCTGGTCCTCTAGGGACAGTATCTGGCATGTTTTAGATGAGTGGTCCTCAATCCTGGTCCTATAGAGCCAGTATCCTGCTGGTTTTAGATCTGTGGTCCTCAATCCTGGTCCTCTAGGGACAGTATCTGACATGTTTTAGATCAGTGGTCCTCAATCCTGTACTCAATGGCCACTGCAACATGCATACACATTCAAAACTACGTCAAGAATACAATAAATATTGCACTAAATATAAAAATACAGAACATTAGTACATTTTAAAAACATTACAGTTTTCTAACTGTTGTGTTTTCAGTTATTATATTTATGTTTTTATAACTGTCTGACTTTATTTTCTTTGTATTTGTCGGTGGGTTCTTGTTTAGGTATCACGATGCTCAGGATGTGACCAGTAACTTCCTGGGAGCCATGTGGCTCATCTCCATCACCTTCCTTTCCATCGGCTACGGAGACATGGTTCCTCACACCTACTGTGGCAAAGGAGTGTGTCTGCTCACGGGCATCATGGTCAGTACATCGTGTCTCTGCCCCCCGAGGCTCTGTCCTCGCCCTGTTCAAAGGTCAGCAGATTAGAGAGCATGCTGTCGTTTTCGAGACACATCCTGCCTCATGCAATTTGGGCAGTCCTCTCTGAATTAGCCGCATCTGTGTCCCTGTGTGTTTTGGCGGCGTAGGCGTGCAAACAGGAGCATGTTAGTGGTTTGTGTGCGTGTTATTCCCTTCTCTGTTCCTATTGCATAATGAAGGTCCTACCTTTCAGCGTGCCATGTCCTCCCACTCTCTGTTTCTCACAACCTCCATCACTCGTTAATATTCTTCCCTCATCACTATCTGCTTCGTAATTTTTTTTCAATCATCCTTTTTTCTGTTTTTCTGTCTGTCTTTCCTGCCCTAAAACCACGTGTTTATTTTTATCTGTCACCCATCTGCTAGTATTAGTGTTTAAGCTGCTCACTTCTTCACTATTTACTTCACCGGTAATCTCCCTTTCTCCAACTTCTGTCATTCTTGTTTCCTTGTTTGCTTTTCAGTTTCTGTCATATTTGTTGTCCCTTTTGTTCAACTGTCATGTTTAAATCCTTTCTTCTGGCCTCTTCTGTTTATAGAACGCAAGAAAAATAGATTTGTAATTGACGTACGATTACAACTGTGAAATCTTTATTTTCTTAAATTAAAAATAAAAATGTAACTATAATACAGGAATGATTTGTCCAGGTGGAGTGTTTAAAGCAGAGGTTCTCAAACTGGGGTCCCACACAGCAAAAATAGGAGTGTTAAAATTTCAGTGTTAAACTTTTGGGTGTTGATTTAACACCCACTAGTGTTATTTTAACACTTTCAGAGTACACTGACACCCAGTGTTGGTGTTAATTCAGTTTTGATTTCCTCAGTGTTGTCTCAACACTGGACAGTGTAAATAAAAAAGTAAATAATAATAATAAATAATAAATAAGTAAATTAAATAAGCTCCGCCCACTATTAAGTCTTATATAACACTTAACGGTGTTGTTATATGACACCATGCAGTGTTGAAAGCAGTATTCTGAAAAGCCCCGCCCTCTTCCACCTCATGTTAGACAGACCAGTATTTACCCAGCATTCCTTGCTGAGAAATCTTGCAGAAATGATGTTTTTGTATGTTTATGACCATTAAAGACATTCATGAGAGTAAAATTAGTTGTTCTGGTTAGTTTTCTTGTTCAGTTTTATCAAGTTGTTCAACTTTAAGTTTGTGTTATTGGCCAAAAATCAACACCATGAGTGAGAGGGATGTCCTGGTGTGAAGAGTGACTCCATTTTACATTTCAATTTACTACTGAGCAGTGTTAATTAGGGGTGTAGGAAAATATCGATACACTGAAATATCGCAATATTTCATTTCCCGATACTGTATCAATATTCTAAAGCCCTGTATCAATTTTTATTAAAGGCTTAAAATGTCAACTTTCCTGCCAGCCGTTCATTTTTATGTTGTAGTTCAGCCTCTGACCACTAGTTGGCAGAAGTGAGCCAGACATTTGGCTCCTCTACCTCTTGAGCGCCAGAGAGTCAGGGTAGCATTAGCAACAAATAAAATAAAACACATACAAAGCAGAACACAGCTAAATGTCTCAAACGTATGTCTATGTAATATTAGAATTTTTTGAGACAATGAATTTTGGTTTTTCATTTATTTTTTCCAGTTAGAGGTTTTTATTTAATATAATTTTTGGACCAAAAATATCGCAATATATCGCCTTGTTTACAGTATCGAAATATATTTGGATATATCGGGATATATCGCATCGTGACCCCTCTGTCATGATATGTATCGTATCGCCAAATTCTTGCCAATACACAGCCCTAGTGTTAATGCAACACTACAAAGTTTGATACAAACTCTGAGTGTTAAGTTTTTTTATTCTCAAATATATGGTTGTAGAGGTAACCCTGGTGAAAAAAACTTTTCTATTGTTTATTTTCTTTGTCTTTGATTTTATATTTTTACACTTATAAGAAGAAAATCATTTTTAAGTGTTTTTATTTTCTTTAAGTGAATAGGACAAAGTCCTATA